AAAAAAAAAAAAAAAAATGATGAACAAGACAGAGATCCTGCACTTGTGAAGTTTATCACAGTGTTGTAGAAGAGATTAAGGTCACCTATATGTTGTAGAAGAGATTAAGGTCACCTATATGTTGTAGAAGAGATTAAGGTCACCTATAATATCCCTTTTAAAACACTGGGTTCTCAGACTCTTTTTTTTTATTTTAGCAACAATGCCAACTCTACCATTAGAAAACACTGCAACATAGGTGAGGAGAAGGTAGCGTGAAGACTGGCAATATAGTGCCTAGAATGCCTTCCTAACATTTATCATTAGGCATAAAATACATTCTAATGGCCTAGGTTCAATCATGTCTTCTATAAATAGAACTATTAAGTCAGAATTAAGAAAACTGACTGAAGATTACTCACGACTCCACAAGGACAATAAAAGTCATAGGACCCAGCTTACAATTCCTACTCCCAGAGTTCAGAGAGAAATGAAGTATATGTTCTTAAGAGGAATGTTTCTACAATATATGTAATGGCCATGAGACAGCCTGGGGAAAGGTGAAAAACCAAGGACTTATCAGATGTGTGACCTCAGTCTAGTTATATACTTCCTTGGTACCTCAGTTTTTTAATAAGTAAAATGGAAATAATAGCATCTACCTAGGATTCTTGGGAGACTAAATGAGTTGGGACTTAGAAGGCAGTCAGGTATGTGTCAAGCAAATGTTAGCTATTATCCGATGGGTGTTTGAATCAATAATTGTACACTTATTTTCTAGGTGAACTTCTCTGAATATCATTTTGTTAATCTTAAAAATAAATTGTTTTGACCAGCATTAAACTGGATAACGTTAAATATCCTGTGCACTATATAACTGTATACCACATACCAAGTCCTCAATTTTAGTTAAATCTGGAACTAATTTCGTAGTTCATTTCTCCCCCTAGACTTAGATGGGTAGTCAGAAAAGGCAAGTTGAGGAAGGGGAGAGGGTAAAATAACATGCATAAAATGCTGAAGGTCCATTTATTCTTTCAAAACATTCATTCAGCACCTACTATTTCTTACCCACATCTGACTCTCTCCAGTTAGGTGTTAAAGGGCTGAGACCTTTAACCTTGAACTGTGTCAAGGTAATGGGCAAGGTGAGCTAGGTCAGCAGAGTACAGTGGAACAGAGTCCAGAGAGATGACCTACATACACTAAGTTCAGCAAGAAATTCCTGCTCCCTAATCTTCTGGAGGCCATTTTAAAAATTAAATATCTGTACTATAGTGGAGTAAGTTTGCGCTATGCCACATCCCTCCTTGAGGACTGAAGCACTCATTCCCTAGTTGTTGTGAGTGTTGACAGCTGACAGCTTTCAGCCAAGTCCCTCTCTTGGGATTGCCCTCAGGCCAACAGAGCCAGTTCAGGCAAGTTTTTGCCACTCCTCACCAGCAGCCATGACTAGTCAATAAGATGTTTCAGTGCCTAGCCTTCTTGCCTCAAGGTGGGACAACTCTGAAAAGTTATCCCGGCTCTAGGCCCTCAGCTAACCAACTGCTCCCCTCCCTCTGACAAAATCTACTTCCTTCACTCCCTCACAGGGCACTTCCAGGGAACTGACCTAACACCCTTACCAAGTTTCAGCTGAGGGGCTTGAGTTGAACATCTTCTTCTCATATTCCACCGTCACAGACAGTTTAATGGTCCGTAAACACCGGCAATGCTTGAGGCAGAATGAAGACACAAGCAAATGGACTTTCCCACAAATATTAATGACAACCTTTTGGAAGTATCTCATTGCCTGGCTTATAAATGCTTCATCTTGAGTCTCATACAGATAGTGAAACAACTCTAGAAATCCCAGCCGTGATGGAAAATAGTCACTGTTTCCTAATATTTCCATCCACTGAAGTATCTTCTGTTTTATCTCCAGTGACATTTTACAGTTAAAAGTTCCCTCCAGTTGTTTTACTAGACCTTCATTCAAAAGGCCAAACAAAAAGCATTTCATCTGCGTCAAATGGGGGTCTGTATAACTGCTGCTTTCAAGTAACAGCTTCAGGTCTTCAAAAGACTGAAAAAAATGGTTCCCGGTTTCCCCACTGTCTTTCAACATATAGAACATAGCTGCAAAAAACTCCTGAATATGTAAGTGGGTAAACACATAGCAGTTTTCATATTCTGTGTCCTTTTGAAGAATATTCAAGTCCAGGAAAATCGAGACATCAGATTTAGTTAACCCATGCTTTCTAAGATTTTCCCTGTAAAACACATATGTCATAGTCCATACTGCTTTGGCAGCCAAGTGGCACAGGCTCCTCAGTTGGGTTTGACTGGGCAGACTAGGACAGCTTCCATCTACCGGTGTGCACAAGCTAGAGATATAGCAGGTAAACAGAGCCGTGGTGGTTTTGCAAGTCAATGTGACACCCTTCTCCATTTGCTGCTCCAGACCAGTACAAATGACTCGGCACACTAGTGGGACTCTGCACATACTAAAAACCATCTCACTGTTTCTTAGTGAACCGAATGCTTGTACAGCCCGCTTCTTGTCTTCAAAGCACTGGTAAATATACTCCTCTCTTGCATCGTCAGACATACCTAGTAGCTCTACAGAACGCTGACTCTTCAACAAAGGCTTTAGTTTCTTAGATGCTGTGAGTCTCGTTGTCACCAGTAAGGACGACTCAGGGAGCATCACTTTCCTCAGCAAACTACTCATGAGGAAGGACACTGGGTGCACCTGGGTCCAGTCTTCGCACAGCGCAAACTCAGGTTCCTCAAAAGCAAAGTTCAGTTCATCAAAACTATCAACAATAAAAAGGAGGCTACTGGGCTGGGACATAATCCTTTCAATGGGGCCTTCTGTGCTCGGCCAGGCCTTTGATATCATTTGAACAAAGCTTCTCTCTCTCAACTGGTTAATTTCTCTCGCATTGAGATAAAAAACACAGGTAAATCTCTGCTGATAGAGGTTGCCCTGTGCCCACTCGAACATTGCCTTTCTCACCAAGGTTGTTTTCCCAACCCCAGGAGCCCCCTGAAGCACCACCGTCTGTGGCTGCTCCCCGGTTTTAACATCCACATCAAACAAATGTTCCAACAGTTCTCGACCTTTCTGAGCAATTTCATGACAGAAATCTTGAGGTTCTCCAAGCAAACACTTCTTATCCCACATGATGCAAAATTTTTCCTTTATTCGAATTCTATATTCTGTTCCGTCACCTAAGTCAGTTAGAATGGAGCAGGAAAAAAAGAGGCACATGATCAAAACAAATTCTATGATTTCAATGTTAAGAATAGTGGACTTGTAGTTAGGAACAAGAAGTGATATAGGCTGAAATCAAAGTGCAGCTGCCTTAGGTAAGAAAAGAATGTAAGTAAAACAAAAATATCCCTGTAAATTTAAAACCTATATTAGAAATTGTGGAAAAACAGAACCGACAATGCAGAAAAATGAATTTATGACGGAAAATAAAAATTTGGTTCGTTCTCAAAATATTTTCTTTGTACGTTTCCTCTACAGAGAAAAAAAGATGATGTATGTGATCAACAGTCATCATCTAGATAAGAAAAGAACACAGGTAATAATTAACAATAATAGCCAGAGAAGATCTGAAGGCAGATCTGAATCTACAGATCAAAACAACCCACTTTATACGGGTAAAACAGTAATAGAAATGAATACTGAGGCATAGCCTGAAGACTATTTTAAAGAAAAAAATTCTCAAGTGTCCAAGTAGAATGCAAGTATAGTTTCATCTTTACCTAGTTCAGTCTGATTCCTTCTTATGTCTCAATTTAAATGTCACTATCTCATAGAAACCTTCTCTGAACCCCAACGCTAGAATAGTTCTCCCCCATATTCTCAAAACACAGTATATTTTTCATTCACATCACATATCCCAAGTTGTAATTACTTTATTTAATTTTTAAAGCAAATAACTGTTTTCTTTGTTCTACTAGGGCATTCTATACAAACATCTAACACAGTTCATATCACACTAAATTATGCTTAGTTCTCCCCCAGGGGAAGGTATGATATTAAAGGCAGGAACTCTTTCTCTTTATGGTATAATATCTAGTACAGTCCAGCACTTAAAAGAAAATTGAGATTATAAGGATTATTTTTACTTTCTTCATTAAACTTTTGCCTATCTTCCAAATTTTCTAACAGTAAATTTCTATGGAGGTGGAATGCTGGTTTCCTAAATTTATGGCCCGTTATACCACAAGAATAAACTTCCTTATATTGAATCAGAAATTAAGGTCAGAGTGGGAAGTTATCTTCAAGATCATTTAATACAATAAGCTAAATTTATTTATTAGTGCCTAGAATGAAGTACATTCTCAATTATTTCGTGAATGAAATAATGTGGCCCATTAGAAAGCAGCATAGTTAAGAATAAGGTTTCTTACCTGGTCCAGTTTTCTTTCTACTGTAATTCCATTTATATAAACTGGAATTCATCTACATAGAATTTAAAACAAAGTAGGGGAAATAGAAATGGTATTGAATTAAGACTTAAAGCCCTGGTTCTAGAAATTACATTTTATATGGACTAGTTGGTCACCACCCCTGGAACTCAATTACAGCATCATTTCTAAAGGAAGGGAATGGATGCGAGAAACCAAATAGTCCTTGCCAACTCAGGGACTCTTTAGTCCATAAAACACAGACATGAATATACCTTTGTTTGTTAGACTGTCAACTTTTGATTGGCATTTCCAAATACTGCTCTCTCGAGGTGCTGAATTAACATGGCCCTGATTCTGACTTTGGCCAGAGAGCCAGAGTTGTTGACTCTTTTTGAATGAAAGATAGAGGACAGGTAGGATATTAGAAGTTATGAAGAGCTGAACAAAGGTCCCCAGGGAGATGAAACCCCGTCATGCTTCAAAAGGTCAAACTCTTCCCAAATCTGACAAAAAGCCCATCTACTCACCCAGCACTGCCTCCTGATCACCTTGTGCCTCTCCGGCCCTGGTGGCCTCTGGTCCCATGGTCTGGGTTGTCCCTGCAACGGGTTCCAACAGGATCATGAGATTTACCAAAAACACGGAGAGCTTTGGTGATGGCCAGAACTCTCCTCAGTGGTCCAATTCTATGACCATCTGGGTTTAATAAAACTAGAGCCAACAGAGGCTCAGACTCCACCAGCTTAGCTGTGGGAGAAGTGATGTGGTATGAACAACACTGAAGTAAGAGACCTCTGGCCATGTGCCCCGCCCTCTAACTCTAGGCAAGTGGTCTAGTCTAAGCCTAAGTTACCTTATCTGTACTGACCCCACAGGGATATGGTGAGGCTGAAAGGAAATAATGGATATACACTTAGTAGCTGTAAAGCCTTGAATATGAGTAAGGAATTTTATAATTTTATTTATTTATTTATTTTTTCCCCCAAAGCCCCAGTAGATAGTTGTATGTCATAGCTGCACATGCTTCTAGTTGCTGTATGTGGGATGCAGCCTCAGCATGGCCAGAGAAGCGGTGCGTCGGTGCGCGCCCAGGATCCGAACCCGGGCTGCCAGCAGCGGAGCACGAGCACTTAACAGCTAAGCCACGGGGCCAGCCTGGAATTTTAGATGTCTACAATATTTTACCTGGGAATGACTCAAAATACTGGCTTGGCTTATGTCCTTTAATAATTTTTTGTCCATTCCTCATATTTCAGCAAAGATTTTAAATCATATTTGAGAGTACTTCAAATTTAGCCTGACCTATGACTTTGTTGTTTAGGCAAAGGAACACTAGATGGGACAATTCGTATCACTCAATTCCTTTAATTATTCTAATTGGAACAAGATGGATGAATTACCCCCAATTAAGGAGCTAGGCTGAATAATAGTATTCAGAACGCTCCTGCCTCTTCACTGTTCCTCAAATGATCCAACAAGCTTCCAATGTACTTGACCACCATGGAGCTTGTGTCCCACAGAACGGTTTAATCCCTAAGTCCCTTTCGTAGAATCATTCCAACGGGCTCCAGGAAGCACTTCCTTCTCCCTATCCCAGATACGTCCCTAGCATCACTCACAGTTGATCTCTGCTTTTGCTCTCTCACACAGATCCTTCAGGTTCATCTTGCCAAAGATTTTGAAAGCCACATCCCAGGCCTGCTCTCCTGGATAATATTTGCTCATCAAGTTAGCCAGATCCTCCCGCTTGGCCTTCTTCACTGCAGCCCAGGGTATCCGGCAGTACTCAGGTTCCATGGTCTCATTCCTCAGGAGTAACTTGAATTTATTTAATTCCTCTTTGTTTAGCTCCTCCAAATACAATAGTAGCCCAAAATCAGGAAAGAAGGAAGACGACAAAGGATCTGTCATCTTGTCCACAGATCAATATACAGGCTTCAGTGAGGAAAAATAATCAAAAGAATGTGGAATAAATGGGACCTATGGAAAAGTAAGATTAGAAAATGAAATACCTTTAAAAAATATAAATTAATTCAACAAACATTGTTGAAGCCCACTGTATTAGGCTCAGTACTGACCTAGTGTCCTCTGTAATACATTTTCTATCATAAAGGCATTCCTCTAATAAAGACCCCTGTATACTTCTTCCACCCTCCCAAGAGTTACTCCCAGTCCCACTACTTATGAGCTGTAAGAAATAAAGGCAATTCACCTTTCTGAACCTCAGTTTGCTCTTCTGCAAAGTGAGGATATCAGAATCAACCTCAGAGGACTGTGGTAAGGATTGAATGAGGTAGAGTTCATATATCACCTAGCACAGAACAGGCTCCTACTAAACGTTGGCAACTTTCCTCATCCCTTCTCTCCCCCACCGATACCCAACATATATCTCAGCCTGTAAAACATTGTTATTGTACCCTTACCAATAATCATTACTCTTGAAGCACATGCAATTGGAACATGCCTCGATTTGCCTCGATTTACCTCTTCTTGTCATGTCATCTCTATCACAAATCCATACAGTCACTGAGGGTCTACATTCCTAGCTCACAAGCTCCTTTCACATCCACTCCCTAACACACAATTATTCTGGGTGAGTTCAAAATTAAAGCCCATCCAAAACAGCATCCTCTCACATCCTTGACCTCAACTCCCATGACCTTATTTCACTCCTGCGTTTCACTCTGATGCCTTCTGATGCCCTTTGTCAGCAACGACCTCTCAAACTCTTAAACTGCAAAGTCCCATAACCCACTCTCTACTAATACCTTCCAGTTAATTGAGCAGTTTCATGCCCTCAATCCCACTGTGATAGTTCTTCAAACTCTATCAAATCCTAGTCTTTGAGTCCTGTGTTTTCCTCCTATTTATCAGCCATCTTAAAGAGGCTTATTCAATTTCTTATTCAACATGGGCACTCCAGTTAATCACTTAAACCATTTCTTCAAGTTCCTCATCTCCTCTTCAGTGATTTGTCTCAAGACAGAGCTAGTAAGTGGTACAGCTGGAACTCGACCTAGATCTTTCTCTAAACCCTCCCCTTTCCAATCTTTCATAATGCCTCCCCCTATTCTTGCCAATGGGATTGGAAAAGATGGATGGGGGAAATAAAAATGTACCGAAGGGAGATTTCACTTCTTAAACAGACAGTGAATTATCTCAAAATTACATAGCAAATCAGGACTTTATCCTACAGTAATTGGTGAGCTATCAGCTATGTTAGGGTTTTTTGTTTTAACTGCACTGCAGAAATATTCTAGATTACAGATTAGAATGTGACCAAAACAGATTCCATAGTAATTTTTTAAGAAGAAGCAAAAAGGAATAAATTTGAGGAAACTTAAAAGGAACAGTGAAATTTCTCCAGGACATACAGACTATGGTAGGTGAGGGAAAATGAGGCATAGGACACAATACCCTCAACTTTCCACCTAGAAATGGATATCACTGCATATGGGCCAATCTTTTTCTTCTTCTTTCCTGTAACAAAGGAAGGGAGCTCTCTCCCTTTTTCTATTGTTCATCCCTCCACCTGTGATCTGAATTTCATGAGCACCCAATTATTAAGGGACTTAATCCATGAGTGATCTCTCTTCTCTATTTTCAACTCCTCCCTGTCCTCTAACTCCTTCTCATTAACACTTAAACACGCCCAGGTCTACTATTGTCTTTTACAAATGTTCCCTTTACTCCACGTCCCCTTCATCTTCACAGTCAAACCTCTTCAGAGTCTTCTCTACTTTACCTATTATATCTCCTCAATCCTCTGCAATCTAACTTTTGCCACCACACTTCTGCTGAGATAACTCATACCAATTACCACCGTGTTGCAAAACTCAATAGGTATTTTTGGATTCAATTTTAGTATCAGTAAGCAGGAAAATAACAGTACCTACCTCTGCAAAGATTAGAAGCTAACGCATGCACCTAACTTACAGAGTGCCATACGTATGAGAGTCGTTATTTTAACCATGACTTAATTCTTGATATTCTCTCTCCCCTTTGCTCTCATAATCCTCTACTTTCTCATTTCCCTCTTGCTTTTCTGGGTGCCCCTTTGAGCCAAGATCTATATGGTTCTGAATCCTACCGGGTCTCTACTCAATGATGTCTATAATTCTGATAGAAAGTACAATATACTCTGGTCTCCTTCCTAAAAGTTTTATGCTGTTCTTTGAAGGAATTGTTTTTTGTTTTGTTTCGTGGTCTTCCTTTGTTCATATTTTTGGGAAGAAAAAAACAGATGTTGTCTGCTGTTGCTCCTCTTATGTGAAGGCATTCATCAATTCCAAAATGTTCTGAACTAAAATGGGAACCTGTGGTTGAAGAAGATTTATTTCAATTTGCAAATTTATTGATATGCCACTTATAATAATGAAAGCACACGTGTTTAAAGTACATTATTCATTCAGCACATATTAATAATGGCCATATTTGTTGAGGATCTACTATGTATAGGTTCTTGATGAAAATTTTCTCTAGTCTTAAAAGTAGTCCTGAAAGTTTAGTCTTATCCACATTTTACAGACACAAGGACTCGGAAATCACGAAACTTGCCCAGGTTACAGAGTTGACAGGTAGCCTATCAGACGACAAAGCTCACTCTCTTCCTACTAGGTACCGCTGCCTTTAAATTTCACTTCATTTTTCAAGGCACTGGGAATTAAAGGTTAAATGAAATCTGTGTGGCCATGTTCTGTGATATCTGACCCTGTGCTGAACACTGGGCTAGGGCAAGAGGAAGCCCTCTAAATATATAATGGCAATCTTCTGAGCGATGGTAGTTCTAAGAGAACACAAAGGAAGGAAGGATTCTCTTCTGTAGAGGGTAGAGATGAGAAGGTCTTGGGGAAGTGACATTTTATCTAGGAAATAGGATATTCCCACCCTTTTCATACACTTCTGCCTGATTTCCTTTCTTGGTTGGTCTAATGGAATCTCCTATAGCAGTTTTTTTGCCAGATAATTCTTTATTTGGGGGACACTGTAAGTGCACTGGATGATGTTTAACAGCTTTCCTGGCCTCTACCAACTAGACACCATTAGAACCCTCAATCTCCCACAGCTGTGACAAACAAAATGTCTTCAGACATTGCCAAATGTCCCCAGAGCAGCAAATTGCCCACAAATGAAACCACTTCCAAAGCCATACCCTCTACCGCTGAGTGTACAACTCATCAATCCTTCTCTATGATATGACCATAATAAACAAATCAAAGAAACAGAGTAGATATCTCAGAGAAAGACATTCCCATGAGATTATAATGTATGATAGAAGAAATACTGTAATTGGGAAGGGAAGCACTCAGTGCAGATTATTAGGACAACTTGTAAACCATTCACACAAAAATTAATTAGTATCCTCACAGAATAAATCTCAGATATAGTAAATCAGTAAACCATTAATACTTCAAACCAGAGGGGAAAAACAGCAGAGAATATTCATCAAACCTTAGGAGAGGAGGGACCTACCAGCTGGGGCACATTAAGGGAAATGATCAAAAATCAGGATGAATATTAGGAGATATCTTGTTAACTATGTTGAAATTAAAACCTCTTGTCCATCAGAATTCAAACACAAAAGGAAACCACAAACAGCAAAAATGTTTATAGGAAATTTGACAAAGAGTTGAAGTATAAATTAGTAAAAACATTTTAGAACTGTCGGCATTAACTACCAAAACCGGAGACAGGCACCCAGACCCAGATTTCATTTCTAATACCATTCTCCAATAAGAGGAGTCAGGGTTCTATGGAGAAATGGCTGATTCTAGGACTGGGGCTGGGAATATATAAGATGAGCCTAAGCTTCTTGTAGTGCCAGAAATTAAGGAAAAGAAAAGGATGGAGTATGTCAAAAAGACACAGAAGCCAACCCAAAAGAGCTCCCAATGGCCAAAATGAATAAGGCAGTATTGGATTATAACCCAAAGTATAAAGCAAATATCCATGAGTCCATACTGATATAGATAAATGACTGAATGAATGAATAAATAAGTGGGGAGAAAGAGACAAATGTTTCTCGCAGAATAATTCCAAATACTTTATGTCGATATTTCCTCCTCCGGGAGATGGATCTTAAGCCCAACCTCACGCCCCCCCCCATTTGTTAGTGCTTTGTGCTTAGTGACTTGTTAAGTGGAGAAACCTGACAAACCCCGCTTTAGCCTGGTGATCAAGGCTAATATCATCAGTCACAAGTCATTGTTGATAGTATGTACCATTGATATGATGTGATGAGAATGGCATGTCACGACTGTGATATTTCTCTTCAAAACCCATAATTCCAGTATAACCATGAGGAAAACACTGGACAAACCCAAAATGACAGGCTACAAAATACCTGACCAGTACTTCTCAAAACTGTGGAAGTCATCAAAAACAAAGACAAAGAAACTATCACAGACCAGAGAAGACTAAGGAGACAAGATGATACTTTGGAAAGGATCCAAGAATAGAAAAGAACTAGGAAAAAACTACTGAAATCTGAATTAAGCGTGACGCAATAGTCTTAATTGCTTGCCTTAGTTCTAACAAATATACTATAGTAACTCAAGATGTTAAAAACAGGGAAAACTGGGTGAGGGGTATATGAGGACTCTTTCTGTAAATCTAAAACTATTCTAAAATAAAATGGTTACTTTTTAATTGGAGATATGCATACCCTATGGCCTAACAATTACATTCCTCAGAATAAAACCAACAGAAATGTGTGTGGAGGTATACCAAGAAACATACAAGAATAGCCACAGCAGCATTGTCTGTAATTCCTAAGCGCTGGAAAAGATCCAAGAGTCCGTCTATAGTAGAACCAATAAATAAACTGTGGTAAATTCATACAATGAAATCCTATGCAGAAACGAGAATACATGATCTGCAACTACATGCTACTAGATGAATCTCACAAACACAATCAGTGAGAGAAGCCAAACCCCAAAAGATTATGTACCATATAATTCCATTCATAAAAAGATCAAAATCAAAAAATTAAAAAATAAA